GTAAACCCTCTAAGTGCACTATATGCAAGCTCTCCGAACTTATAAGAAACCATCAACTATTTCACTTTCCATAAATATATGTCTGATATGGTCCCGATGCATTGCATTTAGAGAGGGTTGACTGTAGTATTTATGAGAGGAGAGGACGGCACAAACGTATCTTGACTTTCGACACGAGGGAAAAAAAAGGTTAGAAATCTGACAAAATTCTGAAAAATAATACAAAGCAACAAAAATGCTTTTTTTAAAGGTTTGATAGCATATAACGGGACAGTTTAATAAAAGTTAAACGACTATATCTGTAGTTTAATAAAAGGAAACGCCGTCCAAAATACGGCTTGGATAAACTGTAATATTTCATTATTTGGATTATGGTGGGGGAGTCTACCAAATATGGGAGGGCGCAATTTTTTATCGTAAGCATCTAAATTCTCTTGTAATTGTGTTTGCGTTCTTTGTTGTAACTGATATCTTTTTCGCTCTTCGCTGTATAAATGAGCATTATTGTTTCTTCGCATAATTTTATTAATTACTTCAATCCCGCGTTTTTGGGACGCTTACGTGTTGGAATCGTATACACCTAACGAACATTGTGAGCATTGCGTTTGGATGGTACAAATTTGCAAAACAGCCGGATTTCAGCATCAGCCGCGACAAATAATAACGTTTCTTAAATAAAGTCAATGATCGATCCGGATTCGAAAAATCGTGCGTGTGTGTTTTATGGGTTTTTATGTGTTTTATGAATGAGGTTTGTTTTACAGGTTTTTTATGTGTTCGTAAGTTAGTGTGGTGTGTGGCTGATAATGAGTTGTACATTTTAGGGATAATGGATTGTTTTCGACAAGATTATCACTGCAGAAACTATCAAGGATTGGTCACGTGGACGGCACCTTCATCATTGCGTAATCACAGATTCGGCGTTACTAACTCCAAACAGCTAGAATAAATTCCGAGTTTGCTTTATACATATCGTTATATCAGTTGGGGACCTGTCTCAGTTCTAGACTGAGTGCCTGGCCTGGGTTCCGAACTGAGACAACCGAGTTCTGGACTGAGACATATAGATCACTCAGCATACATTTCGCTAACCCATAGTCAAGAGATAATGGAGTTCAAGACAATATACTTATTACTTAGGGATCCCGTTCATGGATAATAAGTAGCAGCTTCAATAAGATGTATTCGGGCAAGCGTAGCAATACATATTACAAACTGCCTCAATGTTTGGCCAGTATATATACTTTGGTACAAAGTTACTTATATAAATTGCAGCAGATCACAAATTGAGGGAAAGATGGTTGTCGTTTTTTTCCGGACGCTTTGCTCGTGGGTTTGATAGTAAACAAAAGGATATGACTCATGAGCGAGCAAGCTGACTGAAGAATGATTATTCTATACCGAATTCTGATTATAATGAATTGAATACTGTGAAAGGTAAAACATCATGCATATCATTGGCAACTCATCTTTTACGTCCAACATTATCTTCTCGTTTTTATCATGCATTCATGAAAGAAAAATACACACCACGCAGGTAAATCAGACATAGTGCGCATTTTTCCATCTACTTGAGCGCAAACCGTGAATGTTGGGTAACAACTAAAAGCCAACAATCAGATCAAAAGTCGCATATACATGCCGCAGAATATATGCTAGGTATAATGTGTAACTATTAATTCTCCGTGTATAAAATAGTCTGTGTCACTCACAAGTTATAAACGGAGTTATATTATATACGCATATATACAGTAATCTTTACTGGTGCAAACTGTCCTACGGTAAGACCAAAATAGTATTATGTTATTATAACGATAAGTGTCAATTCCAGTAAATCATTAGCATTGTCCCACGTATCTTAATCCAAAAATCGACCAGGAAAAATCCTCAGATAAGGTGTTTGCTGATTAACATTTCCAGAGCCATCCAGCTTGCAAACCCTAAGGGAATCACAGGTCAACAGGATAGTCAATGTACCACGTGTGTAGTCCTGTAAATACCCTGGGGGTATACTTAGTACACTAAGTACCAGGTAATGACAAGAGTATGCTGTTAAAATACATACACGTGCATAGATACTCGAAGTACGCCGTGTATGGATGTTTTTAAATTGATACATTCCCGACTATTTATTATCATGGCTATATTCTCTCGGTCTACCAAAGAAGTGGGAGGTGGAAGAGAAAAAGAAAGAGCCAAGCACATTGAATTGCATAAAAATACATTGATTTTTCTTTACCTTACACGTTGGACTTTTAAAATATTTGATTTTGGGGCTTAATCCGAAATAATATGCAAACTATACATTGAAGTAGAGTCCGTCGAGATTATACAACTAAATACATACCTCACATTACAGAGAACTGGGAGGCTTTGACCAGCGATTTAACCATCGAACTGTTGCAAGTGATGATTGGCAGTCCTGTTTTTCTAATGATAGTTTAGCAATTACTTGATATCGTCTGTAGGTTCGCTTTCCCTAAAATCAGCATGATAATAAATCTCGAATTGGTTTTCGCAAGCAACAACGCTAGGAATAATGCACTGTATTTACAAATGGTGCCATTGATATGATGTAATATATATATATAAGGTTCTGAGCGCTAAGGCGCTTAGTATCGAATTATGAGCATAAGAACAAACTGAGGTGTGAAGTACATACAGTACATCTCATTATATCTTGCCTCGTCCACTAAAACATTATAAAAGATATACTTTAGAATAAGGCGGCGTTAACGCTTAATTGTAGAGGAAATTGTTCCACCCGAAAATTCGGTAATCAAGATCTTGTGGGTAATAAACTGGTTTAAAACTCTAAATTTCTCGATAAATTAGAGATTAGTCTTCTTAATTTTAAATATCTTTTCAATCTTTAAATGCATGTTGGCAAATTTTCTACAGACACTCGATGCCAAGCCAAGCCACGCTGAAATTTACGTTCTCAATACATGTGAATAATTAAATCATTCACATGCAAGACAATGATAATTGTTGATCCGACTCCCATCTCATCAGAATCTTCGGGATTGCCGATTGCAGCTCTAGATCGTGCATCTGACACACACATGTCCCTTGAAACAATAATACCCGAGTCTGCATGCTTCCAAATACGAATGATAAGTTGTCATTATTAATAAAGTCGGCTCCCTCTCTCTAAATAACCATATGGCTCTATTATTGTATCCGCCGAATATTAACAACATTCCAGAGATGAGCTTTCAGTGACGCTTACAAGAATATGTATGTCGAGAAATGTCAAGGAAGCGGAGGGAAGCGGATATTGAACAGGAAACCCAGCAAAGATAAGTGAATATAATGAAAGTATACTAACAGCAGTCGCTCTAACTACCATGACCTACTGGTAACGGCTCTATTATCTACAAGGTTGCACGGCAGTCTCTTGTTGCACAGTAATGTATTTGACATTATCACTCCCATATGCTTGACTTTTTTCGTCGGCCATCATTAACATCTTAGGATGACAGTTATGCGAGGTGGCTGAGCACTGCCATGGTCAGAGCGTAAAAATTGCAGAATACACGATTCTCAGGCTTTGTGACATGACAAAACATAATTTCTGTGTGTAAACCCCACAGAGTAACATGCTTGTTAGAGACGAATGTTAACGACTAAACGTATATATTATAGCACGTAGACATTGCCCTGTAAAGTTAGTTACTCGGTTTCGGTTTCCTCAGTTCCCTGACATGGAGATGATTATGACGAAATCAAGAAAAACACTTCCCAGTCTTGCAGACTGAAGTTTGCCATTCTCTCGCTACACTTTTGGTAAATGTTGTCGTAATAACATTTGAAAGCCCCTTTAATTGGCTACCTTTTTTTTTTTACTTGTAATAATTCTAAATATGGACGCACGCAAAAACTGGATTCCCATGGGTAGATCACTGTCAATCAGGGATATTTCCTAATAAATCACGCGGTTTCCGATAGTATTACGGGTTTTCGCGCGATCGTCACATATACTATATAATAAATAGTTCCAAATTAGGAGAGAGAAAATACGCTTTGATGGGAGGGCGGAGGATGTGTTTACTAGGCTCAAATCACATCATTATCATTAAGGAATTAGACAATACAATATTTCATTTAAATTATTCAAATAGAGTACTTAAATGTCACTGATCATTACTGAATATAATCTCCGGAATTCGATCGTGGCGGGGGGAGAGGGGGCGATATGTCTGGCTGTGCTTGCATGAATGAGGTTGAACAATAAGCAGATTGCACAGTCTTTGTTCATCTGCGTGCTACATACATATTCACAATGTAAGCATTAAAAAACTCTCACAAGTATAATCAGCTGTTGACCGTAACAGCTGTTGGTCTATTTTTGTGTTCTATTAAACCGGTAAGACCAATACTGTACATGCGTTTATCAAGACACAGAGCATTCTTTGTTATAACATTAAAATAAAAATTTATGCAGATTAAACCCAACCTTTCAAACGAGCATTGTATTTGGATTATTTACTTTACTTATTTTATGATGTTTTGACGATTTATTATCATATAAGCAGTCGAGTTCCTTAATACGTACGTAATACATGTGAATATGTGCAGATAAGAAGACGAGTAACATGATTGTTAACATACACTGTCTCACTTATTAATGAACATTTTTATTTGTATCCAATAAATAAATCTTAAATCGGTACATATGTGGTCTAGTAGTAATAAACGCTAACGATAATTTTTACGTCCGTTTATCTCACTGTCATCACATTAAATTATCAGTGCCTGGGAACATCATGTACAAACAAAGCCCCTTTACTTAAACAAGATGAACGAAAACAAAGTAACAATAAGACTGAAATTTAACTGTAGCATATTTTGATAGGCAATAGGTAACCTAAAATTGATGATTATTAAAACAACCTTAATATTTACTAATTAATGGGGGAAAAAATTTCTACATCTGGAGACGCCCACATATTATATTATTAGCCTTTTAGCAAGATCCCTTTTGCTACTCTTTGCGTTCATGGGGCTCCAAACGACCTACACAACTTTCGGTCGTAGGAAGCTACCATCACATCAGCCTCCAGTCGTGGTACGCCTGATACTATATTATCGATAGGATGACAAGTGGGCTTGTAGTGCGGAAATAGAAAAGATTGCGTCAATGGAGAGTGATTGGAAATCGGTGATGGAAGTGTGCATTCGGACGGGGTACTATGACCCGAATGTGATGGAGTGTAAGGTAGAGCTGCTTTTTGTTGCTGCGAATCAAAATATGGAGGAAACGGAGTCGGATACAAGGAAGATGCCATTGGATGTGTTGATAAATGCGTAGAGGTAATGAATGATGCTCTTGTTGTTTCTGTCGCTGCTAATTGTTGTCTATTCTCTTGACTGGCGTTTGGGGGCGACGCTGGACAGTCGTGGAAGCATTGTATGTTGTTGAAATTCGATCGAGGTGGATAGTCTTCTTGACTCTCAAGTTTAGCGTAAGATGGCAAATATTGAGGATGAACGTGGTGGTTTGCATACTCATTACATGTGTGTGGAGAATGTCGAGTGCATGGCTGCAATTGTTGCCGTTGATGTGGATGTTGTATTGGTTGCGTCTGTTGGTAAGGTATGTAATCACAATACGCGTCTGAACAGTGTGTTGGTATGTTCTTGGAAATGTGAAGAAAAAACACGATACGTTAATATGAATAACAAATAAATCAGTTATGCATAACCAATACTTACTCGCTTACTCACAATATGTCGTTGATTAATTGCTCTGGGATTTCTTTCAGCGTTCTTACCGGGAGATACTTCGCTTATGTTTTCGTGAACAAATTGAATTTCGTGTCCATTTATCGAAGCATTTCTTAACCTATCCCAATTGTAATATTGTCCATCGCTATTTAATCTATCTTCGAGTGAATGTCCGTTTGGGTTCTTCTCCCTCCTCTTGCGGGGACGATATACATAATTGGGATATATCTTTTCATGTATGGTCTTGGCTAGTTCAGCCAGAGTTTCGTATATGATCTTAATATCTGGGCTAACATGCTCCCACTCGAACGAGGCTTTTTTCGATACAAACGGCAAATCCGAACCCACTCTGGCCCCAGCACAATTAATCATCTTGGCTTGCATATCCCTGCGATACAAGACAAAGAGGTTTTGAGGCCGCGGTGTTTGTCCTTTCCGTGATTTTCTTTTGGGTCTAATAAGATCTTCTACAGGAATGGTCACGAACGATCTTATTTTTGTCATTACATGGGGATCTACACTGTTGATAGCTTCGTCTATGATCTCGTTAATGACATGTGGCTCTGGCATATCGTATAACTTTCCCCCTTGTTTTGAATTTAATTTAGATTTCATTGTGGAAATGTTGTTGCTGTTGTTGTGTTCGGCGGTCGGTGATCGAAGAGAGTTGTTTGATGAAACGGAAGTGCCAAGTAGATGGTTAGTTTTACGACAAGTCGATCTGTTATTGAAACGAAGCACTCTTGTCATAGCAAAAGTGTAATGGATTTGATAACGTCCTTTGGGAGAATAGTCAAAGCGGAAGATTTTCACAGCGTAAAGACGCTTAATTGACAGTTGGCCGGTGAGCAAAAAAAAAAGTGCGGGAGATAAATCAGGACATAAAAACTGCTTTGAAGTAAAGTGTAGAAATTATATGATAAACATGTATGAAGTGATGTTTACTATCGAAAGTTTAGTGGGAGGGATGTTTCGATATTGGTATAGGGTGTTATTTATGTACAGCGGGGTTGTGTGAGCGAGTGCGGAGTTTGTATTATGCTACAAGTGATTTGTATGATTGGTAAAACGAAAGGAATTGTTGCGTTTATATATACGTTACGGGTTATCTAAGTTAATTATTTATCCTAGTTCAGTGGTTGGCAAGTTTGATTACTTGATTGCAAAACAAAAGCATTTATAGTATATTTACACATATATAAATTTTTAAAGTAAGGTTGTATAATTTAAAGTAGTAAATACAGTTTTAGCATATACCAAGTTCAACCCGAGTAAATGCTTGCCCCCCACAAGCAATTATTAATGGTCACCCTTTTGCTTATTCTAAATTTACAATGGGGTTCAGTTTTATTGTTAGTCCCCGTTCTGTCAATGGACTGTAATGTTCTCATTTAACTCGCACAAACACGGTTGATTTAGAAGATGAGGAGATTCGATTATCAAAACCCTGTATAAATACGGGCGTGTATATGTGCATATACATGTATGGTAGGTATTTATATCATGTTCAAGAGTCGATTGTGTGCAAACAACTCCTTCGCCTTACGCGATGTAACCAATGGCAGCGATCTATGCGTATTGTTGGCTGGGTTTGTGGAGTCGCCATTGAATATGTACTTTTTTTGACACTTCTTCTTCTGTAACAACAATAAGCGTTCCATGTCGCTAGCCGTATAGTTCAATTATTTAATTATTGGACAGCCTTTTTACTAATTGTGTTAATGTATGTGCGAGGGTTGATGCTGATATGCATGAACTGCATAGACATTGTACAGAACTTGAAAATGGTTAGTTGACAACCTACACCTTACTAAGCATCACAATTGAAACCATCTCAATTGCACGCTCGAATGGTTGTTTTTGGTCGATAGTGTTCACACTCTCCATCCGCGTACGATTATGATTTATGTGTGAAATTCGAGTTTAGGTGTCGCAGATATACACCCACCTACATAGATTACACAAGTGCCCATCAATTCAACATACATAATCAACAATAACAACAGTTCTAATAAAGGAATAAGAGATGTCTGTGCAAGCGCTTGAAAGAGAATATTGTACTAGTGGTATATGATACGATATGTAAATATACACATCGGACACAACATTACATATAAATAATTATTACAAATATATGTTGAAACATGGAAGTATAGAAATGGGCATAACTTTATTAGTCAATTGTTTAATTAAAACAAATTAGATCTACATTTTAAAAAACCATATACGCATGTTGGTACTGTAAAAAGAGTCCAGTTGTCTGAAAACCGAACTTTTAAGAACCTTTCCAAAAGACAATCTCTTGGTCGATCGGTCGAGTTCTACATAAATTTAGCCTTTTAGGAATCTTATTGCACAATTCACGTTATATTGTCATATAAAACGGCCATATATACAGTCAATATCTCCCTGCAAAGTCGCAAGAAAGAAAAAGAAAAAAAGCAAACTATAACTTTAATTTCTAATTGTCTAATCTATTATGGCTGTTACGTAAAGTTTTAAGGTTTACGAGGGATGTCTCAAAGTCGAACAAATGAAACCCGTGTATGTGGCCCCCTTCTCCCTTCTAATTCATGTCGATGAAATAAAACCATTCATAATACAAATCCAGTTCTTCTTATTCTCCTACCAAACAAGTGATTCATTGAAGACATGAATAGGTAATTGGGACTTGAAGAAGAAGCATCGATTAAAAAAAGAGAATACAATCAGAAATATTGTCCTATTTTCGATTTTAACGAATCATATCAACTTTTCTGAAACCAAGGTACAAACTATTAAAAGAACGGCCTTTGCCATTTATACCTCTTCTTGGCGTTGCGTGGAATCATTCCTTGTTGCATGCTCGCTTGACAATAATATGACGATGTATGTACGTTCTTTAATCTGCTAATAGAATGATAATGACCTTTGTGGGTTCTAACGAGATCAAAGAGCGTTTAATGTTACCATGAAACCAGTTAAGCTCTGTCGCCCAATATGGATTAACGTGATTAAACATTCAATTATTGGCCAATTGTTTATCGCTTTTTGGCATTGATAATTTTGCTTGACCAATAAGAATATCGTATATTACATCATACCGAGATGTTTACTCCCCTATTAGCGATGGCAAATGTTTAAGCAAAGCAAAAGACCCAATCATCTACCAAAAGAAATCGATGTCTCGCTTTTTGTGAAGCTCATGCTGCATACGCTACATACACATAGCACACACTCCCTTGCCCCCTTCATCACATTCGAAAAAGTAAATGCCATTATCGTCCAACAATGCTACTGAATCATCCTTGTGTGTTCTATACGGATTAAGACAGACAACGAGTATTGTTCTCTCGATGTAGTGATTACATATACGTAGCCGATGTATTATATACTCTGCCTCTCTGTAATTTATTGATTGTAGCGCGGTATTGTTATCCAATAAAATTCTTCTGTGGTGAACCTTATCATCTGATCCATTGATTGACACCAAACTATTGACAAAAACTTTATCACGTAGCACCACGCAAAAGTAACCTGGCGTTTTCTTCTAGAACCGCCCTTCCATGACAGAGTCTACGGTCTTGGTCAAAAGAAAGGGATCGTTTTTACTGAGAGTCAAAAAGGGGTGAATGTCTTTCGTACGTCCTCAAGCAAGAAATATTCCAGGACCTCTTGCAATCGTTTCTCAGGCGGGTTCGCTAGGCTCGTAAGGCGTGGGAATTCGACAAAACTAACTGGTTCACACTTCTGATTTACGTTTAGACTGATTGTTGGGTAAGCCTTTTATTGGTAGTAAGTAATTGAAAACTTTTAATTCCGTGCCGTATTCACATGACGAACACATGAATCGCAGAGATGTAAAGTTATGCAATAGGGATGCAGATGACCAACCCCACCCTGCAGTAATGATGATCGCTGCCAAAAGAATGGCATAGCGTGAAGGAATAAGAGTTGAGATGATGCAAGCATCACGCCAGATGTGAAATATGCGGTCGTGTTCTTTCTTAATTATTATATGTACAGTAGCACACAAGCAGATTCGATTTTTAAAGAATTATTATCACACAAGTAAATACATAAGTAAACGGTTCTCACGCTCTTTGAAAATGCAAGCGTAGAATACAAGTCTAACTATAATAAAGTAATTCGATAAATTGCAAAGAACTGTCTGTTATCTCTAATGGTAAGAATGGAAAAGAGCTATGGTTTACGGCATCTGCATACGAACGTAACAAATTATTGTCTCTGACATGATTGTAATAATCTCCATTATATCTCCTCTTACTCTCCCCCCTCCCCCCCTAATGCAACCTAATGCGTGAGATAGCCTGCGCTCTTACGGTCTGTGAATCCATGAATACAGATCCAAATCACAATAATAATTAGGGCTACCACGGAACTCATGAAATAATACTGGAGTACAAGACGTCTGCTATGGAAGGATATTCCCTTCTCACGAATTAGAAATATTCCAAGCGATACTCCTATAACAAGGGTATAGGCAAGTCCTACTATGGTGCCTTTTGGAAATTCAATAGCCACGCCTGCAATCAGAATGCCATACGCCAGTGACCCTAGTATCCATCCTGTAATCAATAGAGCAGAGTGTGGAGAGTTGTGGCGTTGATTCCTGAATGCGATTATATTACAGAGGGCTATCAATATGGCTCCACCAGCATACATATAATGACCAATCTATAATGAGTTAGAGTGGGAAGGTGGTAGAAGAGTGTGTTAGCCAAAGTAATCCATAAATCGGAAATATATCCGCACGAATTAAAATACGTCACATTGACTATGTCATAATTTATATTACCAGATGTTCGAGTGTTTCTCGGTAATAATTTTCAACTTCCTTTACTACAGGATATTGTAATACCATCTGCGGATTATTATCCTCTGCATTCTCGATCTCATGCTTTGCCATTATTGCTGTAGAGTGCATTGCAGCCCCTAGAAATAAAGAGAGGGAACGATGAGTTGGACATACTGCTTTGGACGACAACTAATCGATGACTTGTATACTCTGCAATTTGATCGATACTTTTGACATGCCTTGAGCGTATATTGATCCTGCAATCATAAACCATAAGCCCAGGAACGATTTTTCAGACAGGCCAAATGCTAAAACAAATATGTGTTTAGTAAATAAGGTACGATACGATATGTTGACTTTATGCTATACAGATCGAGGTTTAATACCGAATTTTCTCTTGTGATTAATGTCATCGGCAAACACATTCGCAGACAGGAAAAGGAAATAATATAAGGGAAGACCAACAATCGGTTCGACGAATCCTGTAAAAGTGATAACATGGTTTTAAAAATATCATTTCACGTTTTTTCAAAGACTGATTCTCTTGATATTGATAATCCAATCGACATGACTTACTATATAAATCGGCGAGTACACCCTGGAAACTGATCAAGACTGGCAAGGCAGTGAATAGAAATGTCCATATTGGTATGATGAATAATAAGACTACCACTCTTTTATCGTGATTCTTCTCTGAGAGTCCGACTCTCCCCGTATCTGCTACTCCTACTAATATGGACTCATCGCGTTGAGCAGAGAAGGAAGAGCGAGACGTCTTTTGATATGATGACATGGACAGAGAGAGTATATGAATGGAGGAGACGACACAGTTATGAGTTCAGCCTTTTCTAAATGGCTTGGCATTGTTGTGGCTGTGCAGGAATTGTGCTGAGGACGTAATCAACATATATGTGATTATCTTGGGCCGGTGGGACGGTTGATTGTTACGTAATGTATATTACGGAATCCGGAGGACAGATGTGTTAGTATATAATAATAAAAACCACAGAACTGCAAACCTTGAGCGTCAAACATTGATATCAACAAGTGTACGTCTCTGAATTCTTATTTTTGCTACTGGAAGATTGATAAGGCGTTTACATGGACTTTATAAGCATTACCGCATCTCTTAATTGAATGGGTGGTAAGAATGCTTATTACACAACAACGTGAACTAAAGAGTAGGTTCTATTTTTTGGGTAATAACGTTTCGATACAAGATGTATCATCAACAAAAGATGCGAGAGTAGCATTGTTCAGTTTTAAGTGTTGTCAATATTAAATTATTGTATACAATTGATTTTATATTATACAATTCAATAGCGTTTTTGAGCCCTTTCTATTCTTATCATTCTTGTGGTATGTACAATGGTCTGAGACCTGCCAGAAAAATATAGCATTACTTAATATCTCCTTAATGGTAGTGACGTAACGTTATTTATTGTCAATACCATTTTTGAGATTATCGACTACGTTATACACGAATCACGAGATACTCCGAAACAGGTTATGGAATAATACGTGTAGGCAGTGTGGGAATGTATCAAATACTTGGGGGGACAATTTAATATGGGGGATGTATTCAATTGATAAAGATCGGCAAATTAAATAACGCTGTCCCTTCGGAACTCACGGAGTTATTCCAAGTTACAATTGTGCTGGCTTTTAATATCAGAGAATAAATAACAATGGGTGATTTAATGTAACGTCGTGCAGAAATACTTGTTTGAATGGAAGATAGGAATGTGTGTTAAGAAGAAAACTGTAATTGAAGACTAAATACGTCAACATCATATTGTTGGACGAGTTCTTGTGTATACAATTAATTATCATCATTAGACCGGATCGAAATATAGACTCTGCAATCTGCTGCGTCCGTTTAATATAGTAATGGGTATACATTTATTTACAATCATTTATATCGCTTACTACAGTATGGATCTGCATATTTTGTTCATTTAGTATTAGTATTACACTAAAAGCCTTATTCACATTAAAATGACTTGACGCATATGGTAGGTGCACCCTAATCGGGACTCGAGCCGTACACCTGCAACCAATGAATGCATCGCGAGCATGTTAATAATAACGAGACAACAAGATGAGCGATAATCTCAACTGCAACACTCGATAAAAATAACGATTGTAAAGACAACTAACTATAATAGAAATAATAATAATGACACTAAATAATGGGCGACAATAATGATGAGCTACAGTAATAATAATAATGGTGACATTAATGTATTTATAATTATTACTATTACTATTATTGTTGCCCCTCGCATTTGTGCCGATATCTGCATTATTGTTCTTACGTGAGATCCCTGCAGCAAAGCCCCTTCTTTTACCACTATCAAAAATCATACCCCGATCGTTCAATAAAACACATTCCCAACCTATTTGACAATACACAATCTCAACATGAACCGTACTCAAAGCAACATTAAATCGAGTTTCACTATATGGTCCATCAACAGATGGGCCAATCTTTCATCGAGTGTCTGCAATAAAATCGTCTCTACATATTATCCGTCAGCCATTTCCAATTTTAGCAATCAATTAGAAACTGCTACCATCATCGTTGGCATTGATTCTCGTGATAACACATCACTAAACAGGTTATCTATCGATATTCTGTCGCCCATTACTCATTATTGGCATTTAGAATAAATAAATAAATTAAAGATACCGCATCTCTTTCTTTCGAGAGAAAATGGGTTAAAGTTAATGTACCCAAACTATTATTTATGCAGCTTAATTGTCCATTTGACTGTCACTTGATCGTTGTTAGTTTAGACACCATTCAAAAAAGTTTTCATTACATATAAATAATCGGACCACCTTTATATCACATATCAGCACAGATACCAGCGTAGTATCGCTTTTCACATCTTTTGTTCACGAAAACACGGCATTATGCGTTAGCTTTACTTGCAACAAATTCACTACCGCAATAACTGATATCATTGGATTTAGAATTGAAATTTTCTATCTGAAATACTAACTCATTTCAACCGCTACTCTCTGCCTTGCCTTTTCGCCATCGATGCCGAAACTAAAAAGTCGTCTTACTCGTAGGGAGGAGAAAGGCCTTGTCGATATCGATTCTATTCCCAGTTCTCGCTCTGATTTTCTCCTACTTCTTTTAGCGTCTCGCATATTATATCGTATTCAAGCAAAATGTTTCCAAAACAACGGAATAGTTCGTGCTGACATTATACAAATAACACAGAGAGAGATCGAACGCATTCCTCTAGTACTCAAACTAACAGAACAGTCAATTGACATTGACTGCAGGAATAACAGTGTGATGGAATACGACTCTGTTCCTTCTAAAAAGCGTACCGTCGAATACTATAAGCAATTAGCTACGACAGACATGCCTCTAGAGACGATGCGAATTATGTTGATCGATGAGATTGCAGTCAGGCAACGATGTGGAGAGGCTTCATATATTCGACGTATATACAAAAATTTGATCACATTGGTGGATGATCTGATTAACTTTTTAACTATAAATCATAGAAGCAACAACTATGGTAAGGACGTAAGCGAATCATCAACAGGCGCCAATAATATGAACGAGATAACAATCGAATCAGATATAGACCACCGCGTTTATCACCGTCGTCGTTCGATTAACGAACATAAAAAGTGCAACTTTCGCCCAGTTTACTTTGCAGACAGTTATCTCCTCTGTACTGAAGGATTGGATGATGAAGAACTCTCCATGGCAGCCCATGTGCCTCTACTCTGGTTACCGGCTTTAACTAACGGTGAAGAGGTGACACAACAGACTGCCTCTGCGTTTGTATTGAGAAGACGTAAGGGATTCGAAGAGGATGTTGTATTCCGAACTAGATTACAACGTATGAATTTTGTACAAATTTGGAGTAAACAAAAGCGTACCAAAACAGAAGATGCTATGGACAGGAGAGGGAGCTCTGGCGCCGATAATTCGGGAGGGAGAAGGACAACATTCGATAATTATACAAATGACCAGCCGAGTAAACGCACGAATGAAGCGAATATGAATTTACTTAATCGGGTATTTGTGGTTGATGATGATGAGATCGAAGATGAGTTGAAATATATTACTTTTAATAGAAACAAGAGAATCAATGCCGACAATAAGAGTGCCATTCATAGTGACGGCCGACTGCCACCCGCAACAATGTTAAACTTACAAGCCTCATATCCAATGTTGTCTAGTCAGGACGCAGCTCGTGACGTCAGGCCACAATATACGAATCGGAATTCTAATCAACATGTTGATTTATCAATCAATTCAGAGTATCTTTCTCCTTTAAATATGGTCGCTGGTAACATGTCATCAAACGACGGCAACTCTAACGCGTTAAACCTGTTCACCAAGTCTCCATTGTTGCCGAGGTTCAACGCATACTCTACCCAGAACATCCAATCTAATCGTCCTTGCCATAAACTCAATTGTCATTATAGTCACAGGCAGTTGTGTCCTTGCGTTATAAGATTCGAACCAATGTCAACGGAGTCGTCAGCACATTAGTTGTAGTGTAGAAATATGGATCTTCAAGTTTTGAGTAAGCACTAAATTGCAAGATTTTGCTTATTTCAAAGATGGTCGTGCTATTTGCTAGGTAGTTGGATATTATGAATATTTACGTATTACTCACTAAGGATTATTCTATTCTCCTATGTAACTTGAGTATTTTTAATAAATACTGCAAGAAATAATTCATGTCAAATTACGTAACAATTATCATCTTCACAGAGTTATTTCCAATCAATCTCATAATTGAACCTTTGGTTACTGGTTTAATAATCAAAAGAAGGTATCCTGGTCCCGGTGTAATTTTACCTAAAAATAACAGTTAAAGGTTATTTCTAATTACTTACATTTGTCGAAAACAATATAATTACTTATAGTATCTGATTATGTGGACAAATAAAAGTTGGAGAAATTACAATGTAATATTATTGTATGTATCATAATTAGTGGCGAAGCTCGCCAACACATTAGTTTGATGTTCTAAGCCAAATTTGAGCTGAGGTTGTATTATACAGTGATCACATGAAAGTTGAACACTCAAGTTTTGACAAATTTGGCTCGACAATTTTGTGTAACGCTCATGTCTTTCGTGTGTGAGAGAATCGAGAGATGAAACGTCGTACAAATATCGAGAGACTTTTTTTAATATTTTTCGTTATTTGAGAATAAGTTCAGAACTGAACATAGTCTAAGACCATTATATTGTGTAATTTTCTGACAGCTGTGATTGTTTACAGTCAAATATTACTCTTACATATGTTGATGTATCAGTATTGGTTCTAAATGAACAAAATGAACACATGCCAGCAGTCAAATTACTACTCTCACGAAACCACGCTCCAAATACGGACAGCAAAAAATCGAACAATTGTGAGAATACATTATTGTTGATAGCTGTTAAAGATTTAGGAGTAAACTGACAATTAAATTGTTATTGATTCACTAACTAACAAAATTTCGCAGACCAATTGACAACAGATGACATTGATACAAGTGAACGTCCCAATATCTTAAAATACTCGGTTTATAGTATAAATAAACTGTTATAGTTTAAATTGTATAAATAACGTCTAAGAAATTTGACCAATTTGTTTTAAAGTCATTGATGTTTGGGTAGATTTAATTCATAATTCAGTCTAAATGTCGCAAGATATAAGTTTGTCATCTTTAAAATACCTTATTATTATGTTCAAATATATTTATTCAAACTCAATTTTTCTAAATAGTAATAGTAATATGCTGTTTACAACAATAATTTATACGTAATTCTGTCAATTCACAATATCTGCCTTATCATCAAATTATCGCTGTGCATAACAAAACGCCACACAATTTTTTATGCTAACTAAAGGGCTTATTTTAATATGCAAATTACGGTGTACGAGTTTTAGTCTTGCCAAGTAAATATGCAAAATTTTATGTAAGCACAATAGAAAAAACGCTAGAATGATCACACGGGAGGAAAAGAGTATAATTTGTTTGTTGGCACTCACATGAAAATTAATTATCATGTTATTGGTTACCAGTATCTTTGCTCCTAGGGTACGCTGCAACAAAACCAAAGTGAACAGTATTAACAGGAGTTGCTGCATGCCAAGACTTTGGACTAATGTGACTCTCCCTGGTTTGTTTTATACATTCAAGTGCAAAATTAAATTAGCAGACTGAAATTAGACTATATACGTTTCATCCCATAGAAATAATATTGTAATACTTTAAACCGCGGTTTTGGCTTAATCCCACACTTATATTTTTTGATAAAGTGGAAATTTGTTTATAAACACCGTTTTCCCACGTTTTTACTCAAACAAACACCAGTCAAATTGCCGAAAGCATAATTAAATTAAATAATAAACCACTCAAAATACTCATTTTTGTTATTACAAATTGAATGGTTATTGTTGATAACTCTTATTATCGGTACCTGCTCTACTAGAAACGCACAATCATAGCTCAAGCGCTTGAAAATCGAGAACAATCGGATCAAACTCACTATACAACCGTGCGAAAAAGAAAGCATGACGCCTTTATTCTAAGACATTTACCAATAAAGAGTCAATTTTTGAGAACAATTATCAAAGCAATTAGAAGCAGGGGCTGATAAAAAAATGTGAATTACATTATTAATGATATGTTACTAGCACAATCAAAGTATAGGAATCTCATAAATGGTTTTGGGTCTGAGTATTTCCTCTCTGCTCTAGTGAATATTTAAACGTATTGTTTTAAAGAATAATAAAGACAATGCTGATAACTTACTGTCTCAATTATGGTAAACCTTCTTATTTATGTTAATGAATTATTTGTGATTATATTTAAATTCAAACCAAAAACAAACTCATAAATTGTCCTAGTTATTCAATTCATACCACATTTATGTTCCTACTCGCTATAGACAATATTATGAATTGAATTACCTACAAATATGCACACTCGAGTCATTGTAGCTAACTAAACGAGATGTCGTTATATAGCAGTGTTGTTATTATTATATCAAGACTCACTTGTATATAATTAGGGCTGAATATGAATTGGAGCAGCCAGATATGTGACTTCTCAAGTATAAACCCTTTATATTTATCAATTAGCAAAGTTATAGAAACATCCAGAACATGGACCAATGAAAGTGGACCCCATAAATGAGGCAACTGCAACAAAACCAGACAAAGTGAACATTTGATTATGTGACATAAATGAGAGGCTGATTATGATGTGGCTGTAAAAT